CCACTTGTTGGTGATTCTTCACATAAAATAAAAAATTAATATCTTTATGTTTGAAGCCTGAAATGTGGCAAAAGGTTGAAAAGTTCAAGGGGGCCGAATACTTTCGCAAGGCACTGTAGTGCTGTATACCATAATATATGGAGGTATATCTCCCTAAGAAACTGCACCACAAACACACACTTCTCTGGCTATTGGCTTAATGAAATTAAGTACTGATTTCTGCAAATATGTACAGAACTTGAATAAACTGGTTTTGAAGAACAATTATGTTTGGTTCACAACTCAAGTGTTCATAAGCCTTGAAGTTTACATACTGTAGTAAAATTAAGAAAACTAAGGGCAAGTTCACAGAACAGATATACTGTAGGAGTCCTTTTTGTAATTTTGTAAAATGAAATACAACACCACAAAGAAGAAAGAAACCTTTTAAAAATGTTAAAAGAAAGCTAACACTTGTACAAAAAAGTAGACAGAACCCATGAATTGAGGTTACTGGGAATACTAACAGCCCTTCATGTTACAAGGAGGACACTGTGTGGATTATGTGTGCATCCTGTACATTTCTTCAGCTGAAGCCGAGAGAATGTCAGTTTCTCAAAGCAAAATGAGTGTGGGCTGGATGAATGCCTGTTGTGTTAGGATTTATTTGTCAGTTTTTGATAACAAAACGCTCTTGCCATGTATAGTCCTTCAAGGTGAGTCAGAAGAGATGACAGATGCCTTTTCCAGACACTAATAAAGGATTAAATGAAAACTATAAATAATTTCCAGAATATATACAACATAGGCTCAAACATGTGTTCTTTAATGGGTCATATGTATAGCAACTATTATTGCCTTCTGTTTTTTTTTTTCCTAGTCAGGAGCCTCCTTCGAGGCTTTCCATCTTTAAGATCGATCCTTGAGATGAAACAGGATGAGAGGCTGGCAATTTTTGTTATTAATGTCTATACAAGGGTTGAATACAGGATAAACTGCTTCCAAGTACTGAACTGAGAAGGAATGGAGCAAAGACAAAGTGTCAGCATTGTAAAAGGACAGGACTTGATTGCTGAAGTCTACCGAGATGCCTAGCTTTTCCACTCTCTCCTGAAATGGCACAGGGGTCTCCTGGGAATCATGGCAGGCCAAGTACTGTCCATTGCTGTGGTAAATACACCACGACACCTTGTTCATCCCTAAATTGGTCGAGTTAAAACCTTTTCCCCCTTTCCTTGGGATTGAGCCATAAGCTACTCCAATCAGCCAATATGGTTTCTCTTGAACTACAGTATGACCTCCCAGTAATGCTGTCCATCTGAGAGTTTGTTTTCAGCCAGAACACTGTACTGGGAATCAAACCTCTCTGAATTCTCACCCTGTGGAAAGGGAAGTTTGCTCCAACAGACTTCCAGTTTGTCGTGAGAAACCTCGAGCTTAGTATGCGCTGTATCAGGGTTAAAAGTGACATCTCTGAAATCTAGAGAAGGAAAAGCAAAAATCAGGATATGCACTGGAAACATGGAAATTAAAATCTGATCATTTCACCCATGTTTATCTGAGATTCATATACACAGATACTCAAAAAAGGAAGATATCTCAGTGTCCTAGAGACATTTGTAGTCTAGATGGGATGCCAGTCCTTTGTAGGAAATGAACTTAGGGCCCCAGGGCTATGAGGTAGCTATGCTAACCACTGTGCCACCATGCCATACCTATTAGATGAATATTTTCTAGAAAATTACAAGTGCTTTTGAAAGTAAGCCACTTCTATTTTGGTGGTTTATGAAAACCCTTTTATGTAAAAAAAAAAACATGCAGATTTCTTCGTGCCTCACAAATCAACAGTCAGTCTATCCTTCCTGTTAGGTCACATGTTCACAAACAAATGTGATGGATCTTTTTCCACCTGGTACCCATATTCCCCTAATGGAAACCATATGACTGAAGTATGTCACAGATATACAGAGAGAGAACTTGACATGGTCCTCTACTTACTTGACCACATTCTTGGAAGGTGACATGAAACAACCATGAATAATTTTTCCACTAACTTTTCTGTTGTTTTAAACTTTGCCATTTCCACTTGGTCTTTTTCTGTACAGCATAAAGGAAGCACGGGTGTTTTCCTTTCAACAGGAAAGGACATACCGTAAAGAGAAATCTCACATATGGTAATCTCATTTAATTTGCATTTATGGGAAGTATTGTTTTTTAACCAGGGCAATATTACTTACCCAAGTCCATGAGTTTTGACATGCTGCAAGATAGGTCAATATTTTATTAACACAGATAGGCACTGCATAACATTGCTGCAAAAAAGCATTGAAAACTCCATAAATCTTCAATTAAAATGAAAAAAGCAAAGCAATGTATCAGGTTAATGAGCAAAAGCTTTAGGAGCCTTCTCATACTATAGGTTGTTGATAGTAAAATAAAATGACTCATCCAGAGCATTTCTGAAAGTTGTAATGACTTTGAGGAGAAAACAAAAAGAATTTCTCAGCCAATTGGAACTAATTTCCTAAGTGAAATGATGCTGATCACTTAATTTTAATACTAAGGAGAAATTAAAAATAAAGCTATTTTAAAACTCACTCTGAACTTTGTTGAAAGTGAAAATCTAAAAGGTATTTTAGGTAAACTAGTCTAAGAGAATAGCTAACTGTGGTTTTGAGACCAGATCAATAATACTTAATTAAGTTTAAGACTTTTTTTAAAGTAAGCTTCTGTATAATCATACGAAACAAAGCCTTTCCGCAGCTTTGCACACCATTTCTAATGCATTTTAAATTATTAAAATAACACTACTGTTTTAATGCAGTTTGTTCAAAACCTTGTTGAGGGTACACTACTGACTGTAAAAGCACTTTCAAAATGGTACACAGGGACTATATCTTTCATGCAACTATAAATAATTAATTATTGGATATACGCTGTGAAACTGTGTTTTATTTCTTCTCTTTTCAGCATGGAATAAACCTATTACTTGTTCCTTTGCAGCCTACGCATGCTGATGCAGCTACCCACCTGAATTATTGGATATAGATTATTCACTGAATTCCGTTAAATTTTTAATGCCTGGGCACAGAAATGGTACAAGCCAATAAAAGAAACAGCTTGAAGGCTTCAAAGAACTGACATTTACTACTGATTTCATTTGCAAACCTTTTTAAATCGGTGCACAGGCAACAGGCATCTCTAGTGAAACTTGCATAATAATAATAAACTCTATTTTACATAGCGCCTTTAAAGGTGGCTTCTCAAAGTGCTTTACAGAATGACAACAATAAATCCAAAATACACAAGATAAAACACACAGAGGAGACCGTGGATGGTGGTACAAAGTATAGTAGGAGCATAGGTGTAAAGAATGGAACCAGTTAAGTAAAGGCTCTTCTAACGAAGAGCTTCTTCTAAAATAAACGTAGCTCATAAGTGTTTTACCACACTTATTAGCAGTTCTCTTTTTAAAATCAAACATTTATTATGACAAGACCTGAATACGTTTTTTTAACCACATTTTAATTTTAAGTGTGTCCTTATGAGAAAACAGGGAAAAAGCAAAGTGTATGGATATTGAACATTTGTAGTTTATCCTGCAGGTTATATACCTTTGCTGCCATCTTCTGGTGTAATAATGAAAACACAACATTTCTGGGGCCTGAATGAACAAAAGCTGTTCAATTTCAGAAGATATAACACCAACTAGGTAAATCAGAGTTCAGCCCTGACACCACTACACAGTTACAGGAACACACTGAAAAGCTCTGTACATAAACTAAAGAAGGCTTCTGTTAAGACCTACATCTAAAAAAACTAGTTATGACCTAAAAATGTTCTGATATAACAAAATGATACACAAAGTAGACTGAAGGCATCAGCATTTACCTGAAGGAATGCCAGTCCATCTTCCTCCTGAATGAGAGACGTGCTGGTGTTCACTATTGCATCCATCTCATCTGGATGCAATAGTGAACACCAGCACGTCTCTGACATTCGAGAGCTTCCTTCTTAGACAGCAGCCACTTCAGAGAATACCGCTCTTCTGATTCCAAAATCCTCATTATCAGATCTTCATCCTCTTCAATCAGCATCTTCAACCTCCTGTACTTTCCACAGATACGTTCTTTGATTGAGGTTGCACGTTGCTGTAACAGTTGTGGAACAGAACAAGATTCTTGTGACTCCCTATAATATCTATTGGGCACAAAATCAACTAACAATCCTAGTAGCATTTTAGATAGTATACACAGTAAGTTATTTACTGGGGAAGTAACATTTATCTAAATATTATATTGGCCATCAGTTAAGGACATTATATTGTCTAAATGCATTTTAGTAGTTTTATTTGTGAAGGACTAGTTGTATCAAAGGATAAATTTGTCATGTTAGCTTCCTGAAGATCTTTCCTGCTTCCCTGACTTACACCACATCTGAAAGGTGATATTCACCTTGAAGGAACCTTTGATATGAACTACTTATAGGTTGTTTTGTCTCTGACAGAAGGTGAATCAATAATTTAGAACAGAATAAGTGGAGCTGTTCATGCATTACTCACTGAGACTTCACTGAACAAAGAATCCATTCCCCTCATTGTCTCTTCAGCAAGCTGGCACATCTCCATCAGCTTGTTTATATTCTCCTCCATGATTTTCTGACACGGGAGAGGGGAATATTATTTGCAATAAAGGGTACTGGTTGCAGATTTTCAGACATTATAACAATGCATGTAATAGTCCTAGAACTACTTAATAAAGCTACAGATAATCTTGGAAGCAAATATTTAGTTGTATCACCTTCAGAGAAGTATCATGAAAACCCAGTTGCACAATGACCTTTTCAATTTAAAAACTACCATTTTATCTGGCTAACATTATTAAACAGACTAAGTAAAACTGCACAAATATTACAACAGACCTACATAAAATGATTCAATTTAACATTACTGTATGAAAACTACATTTAACTGATAAAAAGACATTTGTAAAACTATGAAAGTAATTGTCCATTTTCTCTGGGGATAAGGTACTTACTTTGAATGTTAAAAATATTCCACGTTGAACATTTACACAGTGAAGACCGATTTCTGGGAGAGCATCATATAGCATCATATATAAATTATGCCATACCATGTGAATAAATCTTTTTTTCCCCAGCATTATTGGCATTCTACGCCACAGACTATTTTCTCCTTACTAATATATCTAAAGTAGTCATATTGAAACCTACGACACGGTGCCATCTAGTGGCTTCAAATGGACGCTTTGTTGAATTTCAGATGCTAACAATGTTTTGGCCACTAGTTTTTGGACCACAGGCATTCAGAACATGTGACTGAAAAAAAAAACAGTTATAAAAATGAAAAAGCACATCCTTTTCACCTCGTTATTGATAACATGATTCCTTTACCTTCATCTCTGTACAGGCCTCCTGGGACGTCACTACTCGATGATTCTTGTGAGACCCTATCACAACGCACAGAGAGCACACACTGATTCCATCCTCCTGACAATAAAGTTTCAGCTCCTCGCGGTGCTCTGCACACTTCAAGGAAAACGGGTTGCCTGTCACCTTGATGATGGTGTGCCCCAGAAACGCTGCTTTATTCAAATGCAGTTCGAGATGGGCAGCACAGAGAGAAGCATCACAGGTCAAGCACGTTTTCACAGCCACCAAATTGGCGTCGATGCAGTGGTCACACGGGATTATTGGAGCTGCTGGGGGAAGATCCCGAACGGCAGGATTCCTTGTGCCAAACTCCTGCACCTCTTTCTGAAGCCTCATGTTGATCTCCAGGGAATCTCTGACATCCCAAAAAACTGGCACTCGGGGCAAAAAAATGGACCCGTCTCCGAGATATCGCAGTCCCAGACAGTCCTGATGCACGTCTGGCAGAAGTTGTGTCCGCAAGCCAGCTGGACAGGGTCTGTATAAAAATCCAAGCAAACTGGACACTTCAGGTCCTTGTTTTGCACATCTGTCTGCAAGCTTTCTTCTGCCATTATGCCTGTGTGGGCTTGCAAGCAAGTGTAAATAATTCATATACTGACTCCAGAAAGAGGCATCAGGTAACCAAATGGGTAATGAACATATCAGTCTTACATCAGGGAACCAAAAAACATATTACATTACTAGCCATAAAAAATATTACAAGAAAACACTTTTTTGTACCTTAATCTAAAGCCCTTTATTTGATTTATAAGAAGGATATTCAAACAGGTCTCTTCTCCTGATTAACATTACTGCAATGCAATAGTATATAAAGTGTGCAAGTCTGTTTTGCAAAATGTAAGACATGCAGACTCTGCAGCTGAGTGTTATATTGTCAGGGGCAAACAACATTTGTTCTCCAAGTAATCACAACCCACCCTTACAACAGCAATAGAACAGATGAGCTTCAAGTTTCAGGTATAATATTCAGCTGTTGGAAGGTTAGAAATGACCCAAAAATGCCATACATGCTGAGTACTTCCAGTTTATAGAGGGCCTTAACCAAGACACGAACATCAAGCTTTGATATTGAGTATTTGATGGGTAATGGGTTGTGCATGGTGAAAATCCCAATTCTCTACAAAGCCTGACACACTCTGGATCTTCTTACATGGCACTCTGCCCAGGTAACACCAGCAATCCCTGGACTCCTTACCTACACAAGCACTACACTAAACGTTGGTCACTCTTTACTCATCACATCATGTCTATAACCTCAATGGTGCACTTATATGAGGCTGCAACTGCTCTTTTGGGTTTTGCAATACTTGTATAAAAGTAAACAAACTGTTTTTAGACAGAAAATGACCTATATTTGTACTTTTGTATTGAACTAGAAGTGATTCTTTTTCTCTTTTGTACTTACCCTATACAACACGGCACTAAGCCATGTTGATTCTTTCTTTTTATTTGACATGGTAATAGTTATTGACTGTAACCAGCTTCACGGCATCCAAACATTCTCCACTGTGAGAATCAGCCAACGGATGACATTAAATATATATATATATTTTGAAAGCTTGAATCGTGCTATTGTATTATTAATGTTCTTGTCTGTGGAAATCAGTCTCGAAAAGAGTGTCAACCAAGCGAATAAATAATAAAGACAAAACGTAATTAAGAAGCTGCATGCAATTGATACTAGAATGTAAATCATGGTAATACAAGCAAAAACGTATTTGCTGTACTATAACCTTTTATTATAAATACCGACTTAAAACATTTTACAACAACCTTATAATCAGATTATGAATTCATTTTTCGATTATTTCGTCCACAAACAATTCCAGTAATAATACACAATTCAATTTAATTGTGGACACAATCGGCACCAAGAATCAAACGGATAATAACTTGAAACACCAACACGCTCAGCGGCCCGCACTCAGCACAACATTTGCTGGCGACGTCCACTTTCAGCACAAAGTAATTGCCACGTGTGAACCCGGCTTTGTGATTCTAGAGATAAGGTTACGCAATCTTGTCTAAATCTTGTGCATGAAAACATATTTTTTTTACGAATGGTACGTAGAAAGCGGAAGCCTTGCGCAGCGACCTGGATGGGAAATGCTGTGTCGTCACTCACGGGTCAACTGCTGCTAAATTTATTTAGCGCTGGTTTGCTACGGCAGTAACGTAGGAAGGCTTACTGAAAACGGGGAAGGGCTATGATCTTTACGTATGGCTTGATGTAGAATACAAGTTAGGGAAGACGTGGATGGTCTTAATGTGTAAATAGTGAGAGGAGCTGTGCACTAAAAATAAGGATACACCTCATTTCACTCTTGGACGTCAAGTTGTGTAGAAAATACGCGTAAGTTTACAATAAATTGCGTTTCGGTGTAAGTAAAAATAAATCGTGCACCCGTAGATTGCAAAGGGAAATTGTTCTGAAGCAGTTAATTAAAAAATACTTGTACTCGAATTTTGTGATTGACGTTTCATGATAGCTACTGAGGTTACTTATACAGTATAAACAACGGCAGAACTTAATCAACTAATTTAGATTCGCCGTTTTAAGTTTCTTTACATTCTGCAGCAACAGCCATCCTGATCTATTTTTTACCCTCGCCACCTGGCCCTGAAGGTAACTGTGGGATCCGTTTGTAGCATGCAAATATTGAACTGGAATTCCTAAAATGCTGCTTCAGGTTTTTTTGCTCCGAGTAGATCTGGTGAACAAAAATCACTGCGAATAAACTAGATCACTTTGGTGTTCCGTTATTGGAAAATCTGTGATGTACTGGTGGGTATTATAATGATAAAATATGCAATCGAAATTAGAGTCTAAGGACTTTCGATATTCTGCGGTTCTGAGATCTAATTTCTTGCACGGTATGTTCTGTTGTTTGAGAGGAGTAATTTATTATTTAAATTGCAGATTTAGCGGATGTGTTAGTTGGAACGACATAAACTTCAATAACACTAAATCTTCAGAGATTGTGCAAGATGAACTGTAGACACAAGCAGTGTCTTTGAGTTCAGTGTATAATAAAAAGGAAGATAAACATCCTAATCTATAAACAGGAATTTCCGTAATTAGTTTATACATCATTCTTTCTATAACTGTTAAATGGCCAGTGATAATCGCCCTTTACACTATTCTAATTATTAAAGCTTTGTGTTTTTAATAATCATATTTGGCCTAATGCACAGTTACATTTCTTTGCTGACGTTTTAATGTTAACGTGAGAAATCTGGAAGATACACGAATGAATGACTTTTTGTATGTTAAATCATTACATCAAAGTAATGCATGCACCAGCTGTTGTTGGATAGCCACCAATTATCTTAAAATCTGTATTATGTGAAAGATTAACTGAAATGCAGTTTACTTTCCACCGCAGGGAATTGCACTGTGTCCTTCTGCTAAAGATGCCGAATGATATACTGTAGGTGTTAAATGTACAGTATATATAAACTAAAGCCTTCTTAATCGAATAGGGCTTTTTATCTAGTACTCTTTAATCACCTAGAAATAAAAAAGCTGTACGTGGCAGCTTTGATCAGACACAAACACAGTGCTGTAACAACCGACAGAGTTACAGCAGCTGCTGACGAAGCATAGTATGGGCCCAGAGACCGCCCTGCTTCTCCCTTATTGGATCTCAGCGACCCCGATTTTAGTGTCTGGGAATTTTTAATGAAAGGGCTCAGTAAAGTCTTTGCTATCCAGTGTAGCTGGTGGAGGAAGAGGAAAAAAAAACCATCATAACAGCACAGATCTAAGGTGGTACCATTGGAGCATAGGTTTAAGAGGACTCTACAGGTATAAACTCCTTTTGCTTTGCAGATTTTGAGTGATTTTCATAGTGAAAAGCCACACCTGTTAATGTTTTTTAGTGTAACTGCTACCGCTCTGCTTTTTAATTTCTAACTTATGGGCTTATTCTCTTTTAAAAATCAAAAATTGAAATTCATTTTAATCCATCCTTTTTTCCTTTTTTGAGGTGTCCTTACACCATGAACATGTATAATGAGACCTGGGTGTTGTTATGTTGTGTAGCGTGCCAGTAACTCGGCAGTTAATTTGTTCGTGCTGCAGTTGCCCGGGGACTGGGTTCCAGTGTTCGGTGTCATCATGCTGCGAAGGCTGGCACTGTGCTCCCGGTTCAAGGTAGCCACAGGGAGTGCGCTGTCGCGGATCAGTCCGCACTTCACAAGAGCAGCATCACAGGCGAAATGTAAGTATAGTTGCCAATTGGACAAGTGTTCACGTGCTTCGAGATTAGAACAGGTTACAACTTGCAAACTTTTTTTTTTTGTTGCTTATGTTGCCCCAGGGCAGCACTGTTACCAAACATAATAAACTAAGTCAGTTTCCTAAGCATTGCTTTTAAATCACTTTTGGAATACAGAGTTTTTAACAGAAATTGGTAGATTTGATTGATATTGATACTTCTAGCAATCATAAAGTTGTAGAGTAGAGGCCTCTTTAGGCAGTAGTATTCCTGTCCTTTTTAAAGTTCAGTCTGGAAATCAGTTTGCAGTTCTCCCTCATTTTTAATGGGGGTGTATAAGCATTTGAAAATGGTAAGAATATTATGATTCCTTGTACTTCAAGAGCAGTATTTAGAAATGAACATTATTAAAGACCATCGTGAATGCTTGGGAGGGCAGGGCAGGGTTTTCAATAGGGGGGAAAAACAGTTGACAGGAGTTATGAAGAAGTCTACTATAGTAGTGATGTTAACCCAGCAAGACAAGTTTTAAATAAATCTGAACACTGTGCATTAGAAATATATATGTAAGGTCTGGCTCTGAAACCAAATGTTTTTGTTTTCAAATTGAGTTTGTTGTAAGACTTTTGCTCGACTTCCTCAACTACGTAACATTTTACTTGTAAATGTCTTCCATGCTCATCTTGATGCAGTTGCATTTGAACAGTCATTTTCTAGGTAAAAAGGGGCAAAAAAAGTCGACACTTTCAACCTCACTCATCTTTCGGCTGTCATCACTTCTGTTAAAATAATAGAATATAAACTACCCATAACTCTTGCTGACCCCCATCTGTAATCTGTCTAATCTGTTCAGTCCGGCATCATGTGTTTTATTGTGATGAGTCTGACTGCTGATGTGACACTTTTCCTTGTGGGTCTGTAGCTGAGGGTGATGTTCTGACCTCTGCACAAGCTCTGCCCTTTTAAAAACATTGCTGTGTTAATAGTTTACAACCTCTGAGTGGGTATAGTACATCATCTTGTTTGTTTAACATTTGAAGTATATAATCAAACTTCATACATCAAAAATGATAAAATTAGGAAACTAATTTTATTTTAAAAAAGCGTGCAAATTAAGTTGTGTAAAAATGCAAGTTCAATGAGAAGTTTTAATTTAAAGGATGTTTGAGGAAAATCATTACGATTGAGATAACATTACAGTAGATTATTAATAAACTGTTTTGTCTTAAGATATTGTATAGTTTATTTTTCCTCATTAACATGAAAGTTTTTAGATTTGCCATCTTGTGGGCTTTGTGCTTTCTGAGCTTCAAGTTCTAGCAAACCTGCTGTAAGCTTTGTGTAGCCGTGTTGGTGCTAAAGCATGCTTGGAGCTAAATAGTGCTTCCATGCCAAGTTCACTCACAACACAGTAAGATGGCAGAATATATATGATGTGGATTAACCACAGAAGTCTTATTTGGGATGCTCCTTTATATGACAATTCACTTAAAATAAATGGAAGCACAAATCCATGCTGAGATCTTCTGGTGTTGTGAGGGAAACAAAATATCTGACGAGGTCTGGCTGTGTAAATGGTCTATGAAGGTTCCTACACCAGTAGAAGGCATGCAGTTGCTAAGCTCATACCATTGCCTAATAAACCATCATTCCCCTGCTTCACTAATGGCTTTGCATGGCGCATTTCCTTGTCCGTTCATTGCAATTCCCATTTCTCCCCCCTTTCAGATTTCCCTGCGATCTGTTCGCCATTCAGAAACACTGCTGTCCGCCACTGGAGTAACATTCCTTTTATTACAGTCCCGCTCACCCGTACCCATGGTAAGTCGTTTGCTCACCGCAGCGAGCTAAAGCACGCGAAGAGGATCGTGGTGAAGCTGGGCAGCGCCGTGGTCACCCGTGGAGATGAGTGCGGCCTGGCGCTCGGGCGACTGGCTTCCATTGTGGAGCAGGTAAATTCGGAGGAGAGGCCAGAGCAGTTCAGGGAAGGTGGGGGGGGGGTGGGGGAGACGGAGGGCTCAGGGTCAGATGCCCCTGGTCTAGTAGGGGGGCTGATTGATGTGGTCCATGGTCCCTTTGGTATTTCTGTGGAGATCTCATTTCACGCATAGCATTTGCTTTATATCTATTTGTTTTGTTGGCATTTGGGATTCATTTTGGAATCCCTTGGAAATTCAGTGTGCATCCTGATATTTCTGAGTGTTGCCCAGTGGAAGTAAGTACAGTATCATTTTGAAACGTGCAGTAGTACTTCTCAAAAGAAATATGGCTTTTTTGGTTTGATGGCTAAATTAAGCTAGATCACGCTTTTTTTTCTCTTTATCAATATTTAAACCACTATCCTTCTATCTTATTGAATTTAATTAAGTGTTAGTAATTGAAACATACTTTTGAGTTGACTTATTTCTTGAGTTTAAGCGTGATCTTTGTCTTATGGGCATATCCCATTTCATGGTTTAATGCTTGTTACTTTTCTTCACAGGTTGCTGTGCTGCAGAACCAGGGCCGAGAAATGATGATAGTTACAAGTGGCGCTGTGGCTTTCGGTAAACAGAGGTTGAGACATGAAATCTTGCTCTCCCAGAGTGTCCGCCAGGCTCTGCATTCCGGACAGAACCAGCTCAAAGAAATGGTGAAACCTCTTTAATGGACATTGTCGTGTAGTACATAACAATAATATGTGAAGGTCGATCCATGTACAGTAATCGCATTGAAGATTATGACGTCTTATTATTGCAAGCAGCGTGCTTTTTTTAAGCATGTTTTTTAATATAACAAATTTGCTTCTTATGTTATATTGAGCAAATCTTCCTAGTTATACATGGACTTAAAATGTTTGTACAATTATTTCCATTTCCCGCTTTTTCGTTCTTGTATGAGCTCAGAAGTCCGAAATGGATCACACTGCTTCTCTGTGGTAGCTTTATTTATAACTCATGGTAACGTATTGAGGTCAGGCTTAAAATCTTGCTGATGATAAAGCAAAGTTCGCCTACCCGTTGAAGCGATAAGCTGGATGGTGAAACGCTGTAGTGGTAACTGTGGGCCATTACTGTTTACAGTCCGTTCCTGTTCTTGAAGCCCGTGCCTGTGCAGCAGCAGGACAGAGTGGGCTGATGGCCTTGTACGAAGCCATGTTCACGCAGTACAGCACGTGTACAGCACAGGTAATCCATCAGACCCCCAAGTTTAATTTTATGTGCTAAACACCCATGTAGAGGTTATAATTTGCAGTGAGCCTTTGTCCACAAATCAGGTTTCATAGTGCTAACTTTCAGTCTAACGGTCGAAACATTGGAGTGGTAAATTATTCAAGAATGTAGCCTGTAAGTTTCCTCGGCTTAAACTATAAACTTTTACTGTTCTTCCACAGTTTATCTCTTGTCAGTAAGCATGGCAGAATTTGTAGATAACTCAATTATATATCTATAATGAAGAATGTATTCTTTAGACTTTAGACTTTAAATTAGTGCAGTCATTTTTTCCCCTTTTCCCAGAACCCAAAAGGGCCATATTTGTAAAAAAAAAAAGGACTGATTTTTTTTCTGCTTATATCCATTATGACTTAGTGGTGGTGGTGGTGGTGGTGGGGGGAACAAATCAGAAAAACAGCTGCAAAGTGTCCCAGAAGATTTCAGTAAGGTGAGCATAGTGACTCTGTGCTGTAAGGGCTGAAATGTCTGCACTTTGTTTTTGACAGATTCTTGTTACAAACTTGGACTTCCACGACGACCAGAAGCGAAGGAACCTGAACAGCACTCTGCACGAGCTCCTGCGGATGAACATTGTCCCCATCATCAACACGAACGACGCTGTGGTGCCCCCGCCCGAGCCCAACAGTGACCTGCAGGGGGTAAATGTGGGTGAAGTATCATGGGTTTGGGCAGGTGTCCAGCATTGAGGGGAGCTGCATGCTTGGAGCTTGAAGGCTAGGATCTGCTTACTGCATGGAGCATAGCCGTGGACTATGTGTTTTGTCTGCGGCAGCATGCCATCTGTCTGTCCGTTTCAGAATTTCTTCCTTGCTCCTGCATTCATTTCTGTTGTCGAACACTGCTTGCATTGTGGCAAAAACAAACTTGGATATGGAGATCAATTGGATTGCTAGGTTGATTGTGAAAGGTGAATATTTAAAAGGGGAAGTTTCACATACCTGCATAGAGGCACACATCTTGTTAGATTCTGTCATTCCTGTTCTTTTCTGCAAGAACAGAATAATATTAAAACAAATACATGTTTTAAAATTTTGAAGTAAAATTTAAAAGTGTTTAAGAATTTGTCTGAGTCCATTTAAAATCATTTGGGTTCCAGTAATTCTAAAAATTCTGTTTGGAAATACAGAAAATTAGTTGTAATGTTAAATTAGGCATCCTTCCAATTAAAGGAAGTTGTCTTTTAAAAGCATTAAAGAATTAACTGTTTAAACAAAATAGTACTGCATTACATGTGAAATGCTGTATATATACAGAAATCCCATAGAAATATGCACTTCAGGTTAAATTTTCTGAATGAATTATACCAAATATGACCATGTGAAAATATAAAATCATAAAAGACATTCTCTGTACAGTTCTTGCTCTCTGCTAAAGTGGATTCATGTAAGCTTCCTTCAAACCACTAACCAAAGCCTGCTTGTGAGTTAGAAAAAAATATTTGTGCGTCACATTCACTTATAATGTCTCCATTAGCTTTCTTCTGTCATTGTCATGCCTCTTTATACAGTATAAGAAAAAAAAATATTTGACTGCCTTTGTAATTTTAACTGGTTGTTGAATATTTGAAGTTTGTTGAAACAACATCTTCTGAACAGTGGTTAAATCCCCTTTTACAAAGGAGACCTAAAGTGCTATTGCTAATTTTATTAAAGCACCACACACCAGTACAAAAACTAAAAACTGTCCCTTACCTTACCTTGTCTTGTTTTGTCAATGTTTTTTAATATAGGTGATCAGCATTAAGGACAATGACAGCTTGGCCGCCCGCCTAGCTGTTGAGATGAAAGCTGACCTGCTGATTGCTCTGTCTGATGTTGAAGGTTTGTAAGTTGTCTGTGAAGTGTGTAGGTTATTTAAAAAGATAATGCACTAGGCTATGGTCATTTAATGTCTACTGTGGGAAATTGGGAATGTGCCAGTTTGAAATCCAGATAGTTCACAGTGTTTCGGAGTTATGCGAAACAATAGCTCAGTGTGTCTTTTTTTTCCCTTTAGGATTGTATGATAGCCCTCCAGGATCAGATGATGCTAAGCTTATCGACATTTTCTATCCTGGTGACCAGCAGTCTATTACCTATGGAACAAAGTCCAGAGTGGGAATTGGTGGCATGGAAGCTAAGGTATTTACTAGTGGGGAGAGATCCAGAATCATCCCTTTACATTTTGAAGTCATGTGTGGAACAAGACCAGAGGTCTAGATGTATGTTAAGTGCTGCATTATATGCAAGTGCTAAACCTTTTTTCATTGCTGAGCATAAGGTTTACAGTACTTGTATCAGGATCTCTTGTAGTCAGCTCCACTTAGGTTAAGATATAATTCTTGTAATCCTTATGTTAAATAAGATTTGCACTTTGAAATTATAGATATTTGACTGTTTTACTTCAAAGCCCGGCTCGCTTCTTTTCTCAGGTGAAAGCTGCTCTGTGGGCCTTGCAGGGAGGTACGTCTGTCGTTATTGCCAATGGAACACACCCCAAAGTAACAGGGCACGTCATCACAGACATTGTGGAAGGAAAGAAAGTGGGGACGTTCTTCTCCGAAGTGAAGCCAGCAGGTGAGTTTTAGAAATACTACTTATGTTTTACAACAAGAAGGAACAAAGAAACTGAAAGTAGCAAGAGCTTTATAGAAGGAATCTTACATACAGGACATATAAATGTTGAGGTGACTGTTCTGTCTTGGCAATGCATTTTTTTAGTGCGTTACTTGTAGCAGGTGTAATAATAGTAAAGGTACCCTATTAATTTGGCCGTAAATTTTATTTAATCCTATTTAATTAGTTTTATTTACTTTATATAGGCTGTTTGTAAGGAGACAATCTGCATGTATAAAATGTTGGGCTTATTCACGGAGTCCTGACACATTCCTTGGTATACAGTAACAATTGTGTGCAACAAAACACTAGGCATAAAATGGAAACAAACCTAATACAGCAGCACACTAATGTAGATTATTTTGCATAGGCCTGATACCACTGGTACATAAAAGGTTTGTGAAGAACATAGACAGTTACACAATTTTTTGTGGTAGAGTTCAGACTTGTGAAATCAAGTTCGTAGACAGGCAGATTTTGTCCTATTCCTTTTTGTGATGCGGATGTTGGCTCATAGGTCCCACGGTGGAACAGCAGACTGAAATGGCCCGTCACGGTGGACGAGTGTTAGCCGCTTTACTTCCAGAACAGGTGGGGGCAGTGCAAAACTTCATGCTAAGCTTCATCTGTCAGTTGAGATATCACTTCAATTTCACAACTGTAGCTTTATTTCAGTTTGCACTACTGTTGTTTTTCCTCCCTCCCCCCATACACTTTGCCTTCTGCTGTGAAATATAAACACTGGGGTTCTTTGTCTATACTTTAACAAAGCTCAGATATTCATGTTGTTTCATTGCAGAGAAGTGAAATTATTTGCCACCTGGCTGATCTCTTAACGGAGAAGAAGGATGATATTCTGGCTGCTAACAAGAAGGACATGGAAGTAGCGGTCAGTGGAGGTAATGCTATACATTGTTTTAATAAAACATGGGTGTAAGGGCTTTCCTTTTTCCTGCTATTTTATGATTTCTTAAAGTTGTGCATCAAGAAGACATTTCTTATATTAACTGAATTTCAGGCAAACTTTCTCCTCCCATGCTGAAGCGGTTAAGTCTATCGACGGCCAAGTTAAACAGCTTAGCCATCGGCCTGCGTCAGATTGCTGTATCCTCTCGGGACAGCGTTGGCCAGGTGCTGCGCCGGACCCGCGTTGCGAATAACCTGGAACTGGAGCAGATAACTGTCCCCATCGGTGTTCTGCTGGTGATCTTTGAGTCTCGTCCTGATTGCTTGCCTCAGGTAAGCTTGGGTTGCTATAAAGATGCAAGCAGTCAATTACAAATGTTGCCTGCTGGAAATGATTTTTCTTATCTGTGGGGGATCTGCGGTATATCTCTGGGTGTTCTGTCTCTGCAGGTCGCAGCTCTAGCTATTGCTAGTGGAAACGCTTTATTGCTTAAAGGAGGAAAAGAAGCCTCAAACACAAACCAGACGCTGCACCAGTTGACACAAGAAGCTCTTTCCATACACGGAGTCAAGGATGCAGTACAGCTAGTAAGAAGAAGCTTCTGAAGTGCTTGTAAAAATTGTGAATTGAGACTCTAAAATTTCCAATGTAAGGATCTGCAAAATGTACTTGGAAAGAGTATATTGCTAAAAAGCCTTCAGATGAATTTCGAGCTTCTGAAATGTGAAAAGCACACGCTGGAGTGAATGAGACTGCTACTAGACTAAAATCGGGGGGGAAAAAAAGTTTCTAGGCGCACATCTGAAGTCCTTTTTATCTAGTTGTCTCAACCTGTGTTTACACATCCTTAGGTGAGCACTCATGAAGAGGTGGAGGACCTGTGCCGTCTGGACAAGATGATTGATTTGATAATCCCGCGGGGATCTTCTCAGCTCGTCAGGGACATCCAGAGGGCGGCCAAGGGCATCCCAGTGCTGGGGCACAGCGAGGGAATCTGCCACGTGTACATTGACTCCGAAGCCAGTGTGGACAAAGCCATCAAGATCAGTGAGTGAACAGTGTGCCGTCTTGTGTACAGATATGACAGCGAGTTAATGTGTTACCAAAGGTAACAATGTGAACAAAGTTAACTGGGACAGAAACTGGAAACTGGGTCAGTTATAATAACCTTCTCATTTTTTTTTATTGGGGGGGCTAATTGTAGAAAAATAACTTTCACAATTGAGAGCTCATGAAAATGTCCTGTCCATTTTAATTTTACAGTCAGAGATTCGAAATGTGACTACCCAGCAGCTTGCAATGCCATGGAAACTCTCTTAGTGCACAGAGACCTCCTGAGGACTCCTGTCTTTGACCAGATTATTGACATGCTCAGGGTGGAGCGGGTGAGCTTCACAGACCTTTTTCATTCAAATACTGCAGCTTTAAACTAGGTTGTTAATTATTTTTTTTAAATACAAGCATTTTAAATTTGACAGCATACTTTATACTTTGAGGGAATGTCTGAATTGGTACTTGCACATAATCCTTGTTTTATTGTATTTGGCAACATTATTATGTCAGAGTCTCAGTAGTAACAAGGTTATTGTATAACAGTAGTGTAGGATTTCCTATTGCTTTCATTTCCCATACCCACATATTCATGGCATATACTAAAAGGATTCCTTTAATTTCCCTTATTCAAAATTTATTACAAATGCCTAATTGTGTTATAAAAATGGCCATTGCATGTTTTTTGTAAATCTGTTCTAAAACAAGTATTCACCCAGTAGGAGATGTAGTACCATACAGGTTTTTTTTACAAAAAAAATAGACCAACTAATTAGATGGTTGGTTTAGACCAACTTATTAGATTAGGTTCCTCTTGTTCTTGATTTTTTTTTACACACTCCATCAAAATTGTAAAACTTGTATTTTCACATTTGTCTCCTTAGTCTTGGTGATGTGGAATAAGAGTCATACTGAAGGATACAGTGCATCTTAAATGCAAAGCTATCCTAAGAAACATTGCATTGTATACAGTTTGACCTGTGTAGGTTTTGTTTCCAGGTAAAAATTCATGCAGGCCCCAGGTTTGCCTCTTACCTAACGTTCAGCCCCTCAGAAGTCAAGTCTCTGCGCACAGAGTATGGGGACTTGGAGTGCTGCATTGAGGTTGTGGACAGCATGCAGGAAGCCATCGATCACATTCACAAGTATGGCAGCTCGCACACGGATGTCATTGTGACCGAGAATGGTGAGTTGCTGAATTCCTGTAGTCTGTTAACAGTGCTCTGTGACATAGTGCTAAAATCAGTTAGATTGAATACAGAGTCCGGTTGTTCTGAGTGTAAGTGATCCTTGGTTTGAACCTAGCCTAGGGCTTCTGTGTGTGTGGACTCTCTCCCCAAACTCATGTGGGTTTCTGCCAGTTTCCTCTCATGTTCCAGAGACATGCAGTATATGTTTGATTGCATATCTGAATTATCTCTGGCCCTGCAATCAGCATCCTGCCCACAGGGGAGCAGGCATGTGCTCTCAGTACTGCTTGGGAAACAGACTAGGTCTTGCTGCAACCTTCACAAGGATGAGTAGCTTCCTGATAATTGAAGGATTATATGACATATCATTAACCCTGTTAGGAAAAGAAATGAGAACAGCAGATTTAGAGCTTGTGTAGTAATTTGAACTCTAGATGTACTGTAGATGAACGTGAGCAGGGTTATTTTCTATTTTCTTGAAGCCTTTTTACAAAATTATTTCCTCTTCACTTCAGTTCAGATG